ACCTGAAGGACATTGTTGACCCCCTGCTGGACCACATGCAGTTCATCTACCAGGCAAACAGATCAGTGGACGATGCAGTGAACATGGCACTACATTACATCCTGCAACACCTCGACTCCCCAGGGACCTATGCATGGGCCCTCTTTGTGGACTTCAGCTCAGCATTCTGATTCTGATTCTGATTCTGATTCTGATCTGACTATCTGAGAGAATAGCAGGGGTGCCAATATTTTTGGCCATAACTGTATATAGCCTATAGGTTAAACGAGTCACCCATCACACCCTGTAGCCACATTAACCTACAGTGAAACAAATCAGCTGTGTTCAGGGCCATCAAATTGTTGCTACTGTTAGGTATTTTTAGTCAGATAGACATTGGTTAGACGCTTCATTTATTAGAAATGTTTAGTGTAGACAGGATGTCTAGCTCAGGCTTTTAAATGTATAGTCATTCCCATGGGGTACTCAAGGTTGTTTATGTTCAAGGATAACGAGATAAAAAGTGGATTACTGTTAGGAGACAGAATGTTTATTATTATTATTATGACGCGTTTAATCATAATCGTAATCATAATATTTTCTTATGCTTAATGTCATAACATGTCACTAGATGTCATGTCAGAATGTCTTAGATACACACCACACAATCAACAGACAATCACACATTGATTTTCTTCATGCTTTGACTACTGCTATGGTCAGCTGCAAAGCTGGCACCGGAGACGTCACGGTTTGGCGTCCCTGAGTAGTATATATATTTGATAATTGTCAATTATCATCTTAAACATGACCTAAAACTCAAAAAATGAGGTGTAAATATGTTCTAGTACTTCTATGCAGAAGCAACTCGGTTTGTACAAGTCTCAAAAACTCTTGCTTGTGAAACTTTTTTTCCCCCAACAATGTAAAGGTTTAAGTGATAGTTTAAGAATTTTCTTGAATGGTCATAATCTCCAGGCAGTTGTGCGTTCATGTGAGCTTGCCTGACATTCACTGCTGCCATTCCAAAAGTGGAATTTCTTGACTGCATGTGGTGTTATGTATATGTATATATTGAAGTCCTGCTGCCTGCATTTTGGCCAGAGAAAAATATAGGGCCTGAGGTTACTGCATGTCTCGGAATGTTCATGTACAGGGACTTGCTGTTTTACCTGACTGGGTCTAACCTACATGCAGCCAGTCTGTGAAGCCCCCGGCAGCGGTGACTGATCAGCTCATCAATGCTGGATTCCCTCGTAGCACAGCACGCGTTTGTTTTGACTGCTTGAGGACCATGTGTCTGCTGCATGTGATGTGTTGCTGGTTAACGATCCATGATGTTATTGTAGGTGCTATGATATCTGTTGGAAATAATTTCACTACTTTGGGACTGTATGTGGTCGTGTGTGAGAAGACACACCACCAGTTGGATTTACCCACCTTGGAGCTACTTGAAAGGGAATGATGTTTCCAATACTCGGTGGGACGTAACAGTAAGTTTTAAAAAACACATGTTGCATGTCTGTTAATGCCTTGTTTCTGTAGCATTACAGAGAATTGTTGTAAGGCTGTAGAAGTTACTATGTCTGCATTATGGCAGTTAATTAATGCTGTTGTGGTTCTTTATGCTCCATGTCGTTGTGCGTTCATGTGAGACTGCCTCACATCCACCGGTGCCATTGTAAAAGCCAAATTTTTTGACTGTGCCTGGTTTTGTGGATATATTTTACCTCCTGCTGCTACACATACTGTAGATCAGCTAGCTTCTAAGCTAGCTAACCTAAAGTAGCAAGTTAAATTTGGAAATTAACAAGAAGTTCTGTAACACTGGTGCTTAAGTAATGCAGTCATATGTCATGACTCAAAAAATTAGCTGATGTACAAATAAAACTAGAAATTAGTGAGCTTAATGCGTAAACAATCTGGTAGCAAGCAAAACACAGAACAGGCACAGTAAACAGGAAGTGAATAAAATTCTACATTTTCTTTTTCAGCTTAAGTCTAAATCCAGTTTCCTCTGACCTGCTTACAGGAAGTGTTCTCCTGTTTTGCTACAGCTAATGTAACAGATAGTCTGGCAAATAATTAAAACACATCATACTTAACCTGTAAGTTAGTGTTGATATGTAGATACAAAGATATGTCTATTTTATGCATGACCGGGATTTTCGGTGTTTGTGAACCACAATTAAACACAAGACAAACAAAACAAAGAATCACCTGGCACTGTATTTATGTATAGGCCTGTGTGTTGTTACTGTCTTCTGGGGCTTCACAGTACTTCATAGAGGCTTAGTTTAATTTCCTCCTGAAATGTATTAAGATGGGTCACTTCACTCATATTACCAATATTAAATACAGACTATAAATAAAACTACATAAATATTTAGACAGGATGAATACGAGACACCAGTCTGTTACTCTGCGGTATAATGCTATTCACAACATCATTTAAGGGCTGTTTTCTAGTCTGGTTTGTAGACATTCAAATTAGGGACATTTGGGAGCGTTGTGGGTTGGCACAGCGGATTACACGGGAATTAGCTGGCCAATAGTCAGGTAACGCTGTGGCCAGTGGTGAGACAGGGTGGCGTCCCAATCCGAGCAAACACTGTCGTGAGCATAATGGAGAGCAAGCAGAGCCAGGTAACTTTTCTGTATTTGTTTGTGTACTCCCCCTTTGAACTTGGTTGTTTATAGGTAAACAGCTGACAGTTTGCCTGTTTATATGCAATGTAACTTGTGCCATTTAAATCCCAGCAGCTTTGGCTACTTTGTGTCGCTGCTTAGAAAAACACGCACACGTTACCATGTCTGGAATAACAGGCCTCGCGATGGCCTGCGCTTTACAGGGACAGCTTTTGTTGTGTATTCCTGTTAAACATAGCTTTGCCGAGCCCCACCTGCAGCTTATTAATAATTATGTACCTGCGACCGTCTCTGCAAGCATTGTTCGTTTTACTAGGATTGAACAAGAAGCCAAAACTCAAAGCACACTTTAGGTCGGGGGCCGAACAGGATAAACATTTATTGAACAAACTAAAACTAAATGTTTTTGAACATATATATGAAGGTTTGTCACCTTGCCCTCTAGGATTGTGTAAAGGAAGTTTTTCAGTTTTTTGTTCATATCAGTCTAATGAATAATGAAAATAAGGTGTAGTTGCAGCTAGGGCTGCGCGATTCTTTCGATTAATTCGAATTTACGTTTTAAGGAGATTTTTTTTCTTAAATCGAGGTATCACGATTTTTAATTATAATAAAAAAATAGATACATTGTCATTGCACCAATGGCAGAACAATTAAAAGGCAATATTGTCCGACCCCATGATGGCGCGCCTAATTAACCGCTTAGCACTCTATGAAGGAAGGTAATAGGCGATAGAAAAAACCTCATGGAGACGGGTGGCGCTTCACATCAAGATGACCTTGTGCCAAAAAAAGGTTGGAAATGGTTCGGCTTTGAGGTCAGACGTCGAACAAACTTTTGTCAAATGCAAAATATGCCGAAAGTCCGTTGCAACCGGCAGTGGCAGCACCACTAATTTATTCCAACATTTTAGACAAAGACACCAAGTAGAATGGGAAGAATGCTCAAAGTTAAGAAAAGAAAACAAGCCAAGTGCAACGGGACAACCTAAAATAGCAAAACGCCAGATGTCATTAGCGGCATCATTTTCCAATGCCACTCCATATGACAAAAAGGTGCCCCGATGGCAAGAAATTACAGAAGCTGTGGCGTTTCATATCGCCAAGGACATGGTTCCCATATACACCATCGAAAAGCCAGGGTTCCTAAAAATGCTACGCACTGTTGATCGACGACTGACCTGTGGAGTAGTCGTACTCTTCAGCCTTACATGAGCCTCACAGCCCATTATGTTGATGCAGAATGGAAACTGCGAAGTGTTTGTCTTCAGATACAATCATACTGGGGAAGTAATTGGTCAAGGGCTTAAAGATGTGCTGGCTTCTTAAAAAACATTTACTGTTAATAATGCTTCTGGTGTAAATGTGCTTAATTTTAGAGTTGACTAATTGGTTAAAATCATTGGTCATTGATTAAAAATGGTATTTTTTTACTCTGTATTCAGAAGAATTCAATATTTACTTTCATATTTAATTCAGCTGCAAAGACATTTCATTAGAGAATTTGTTTTACATTTATTTACACCTTGTTGACCAATTTATGTATGGCATGCACACTAAAATACAATGTTTCCTAAACTGATGGTTTTTCAAGTTACTTAAAAAGAGAATGTTACTTCAGTCGTGTTGTTGTACTTGTGTTTAAGTTGGCTAGTTGGCTAGTTACACATAAAAAAAAATCTATATTGTGAATTGGTCACATTTTATAAAAAAAACCTAGATTTTTATTTTTTGCCATATCACCCAGCCCTAGTTGCAGCCCTACTGCACTTGCAATAAACTGCAACACACACTATTACACGCAATATATCCACTGATTGATTTCATTCTCTGATCTTGTTAATACTTTGTCCACTTTATTTCCATATACAGATGAATAGAATGGATCACAGAGTTGTCTCAGTGGTCATTCATGTGCTGTAGTGCGCTTGTCAGGACATCTCTGACAGCACAACGAACCATAACAGCATTAATTAATATGAATTTCTCTTACATAGATAAGTAAACAACAGTATATGTACTGATGAGAGGTGCAACAGGTAATTGAGAAAGCCCATATTTTAACTGGTGTAATGCAGACATAGTAACGCATCCAGCCTTATAACAATTCTCTCTAACGTTACAGAAACAAGGCATTAACAGACATGCAACATGTGTTTTTTAAACTTACCATGAAGTCCCACCGAATAGTGGAAACATCACTCCCTTTCAAGTAGCTCCAAGGTCGGTAAATCCAACCGGTGGTCACTGCGTCTACAAACACATACAGTCCAATGAAGTGAAATTAATTCCAACAGGTAGCATAGCACAGACAAAAACACCATGGATCCCTAACCTGCTCGTTAACCAGCAACACATCCCATGCAGCAGACACACTGGCTTCCAGCAAACAGGTCCTGTGCTCCGGTGGAATCCGGTGTTGATGAGCTGATCATTCACCGCTGCACCGGTGGATGTCAGGCAAGCTCACATGAAGACACAACTGCCTGGAAATCATGAACATTGAAGGAAATCCTTAAACTATCACTTAAGACTTCACACTGTTAAAAAGAAGTCTTGCAAGCAAGAGTTTGCAAGGCTTGGATAAGGATTATTGGCCAAGTATGCTACACACAAGGAATTTGTTTCCGGTACAGAACCGAGGCAGCCATCTGCGGCGCCAACTCAACCGATGGCTCTAACCATTGGGGGCAGCGGCGGGTTCAGTGTCTTGCCCAAGGACACTTCGACATGTGGACTGCAGGCACCGAGATTCGAACCTTCAACCTTCTGGTTGGGAGGCAACTGCTCTGCTTTGGTGCATTGATTTTGATCCTTTTTAGAGGCTGTTCATTGAGAAGTTGGTATTACAGGTGTGCAAAGCTAAATTAGTGGTGTACTGCAACTGTGGGAGTTTACACAGACCCTGAAAACCTTTTTTATGAGTTTCACTATGGATGGAGTCTGTGATTGATTTGCTATCAGTACTATTGCACTTCAGATAACGAACAACATCATGCTTTTGCTGCTGTTGGATCTTGTCCTTATTACTTGTAGTGATGTCAGTTGGTTCAAGTCGCCTGATGTTTTCTTCAAAGTGATGCAATGCAATGATCTGTACAATATACAGACATTTCTGTTTATGGTGCATAAGTGTAAATGTGTGTGGTCACCAAATATCTAGCAGCTTTATTTGCTGAATTCACTCAACTAGAACAGTGTAATAAGTTCAGAAAATTGAATCACTCTGCAGCCCTGAAGACCTGGGAAAAAAAGCATTAAAATGCATATATGTATGTATGTATGTATGTATGTATGTATGTATGTGTGTGTGTGTGTGTGTGTGTATAACCTACCTGTTGTTAGTTATAAGTATATGTGATTTGGAATAAATGGTACAGGAGTGAAAACCTGATTTTATTCTCATTATCTGTCCTGTTAGTTGCAAAGGTGTTGTAACTGAGGAATTGTCCCACTTCGTTTCCCTGTCAGGTGCTGAACCTTGATCGAGTGCATGCCCTGGAGACATGGCTGGACAAAACCAATACAAAACTGACTCAGGTTAATGGCCAAAGGAAATATGGAGGACCACCTGAGGGTGAGAGAGAGACTGCTGCTGCTGCTCAGCTGCAGTGTGCCACTTTTTATGCAGTATTACAGTGAGAATAGCTCCTTAGAGAAACTCAAGAGATACAAGTATTCAGAAAAAGGACTGCGTTGTCAGTCAATTGCAGAAAATGGTGAAAAATGGCCAAAACATGTTCCGAAAATATACTGCTTTTGTTCAAGGAACACAGTGAACACCTACAGACAGTGTTGTGCCCAGTGATGTTCTGTAAATCAGAGAAAGCACAAAAGTGACACAAAACACCTGTTGTGTGTGTATATGTGTGTGTGTGTGTTTTCTTCTTTAAATGTACAGTGCAGTTTATCAAGATGTAGCCTGTAAACACACCAGTGCTGTTAGGGAAAACAAGATGCATCAATTCTCACCTAATTAACAGGAAATAGTTACTTTTTGTTGCAGTGTCATGTTCACCAAATCATTTTAGTTCTTGTGTTTTAGATTCAGACTTTGCAAACTGTACACTGCATGTGCCTATATAAGTGCAGTCCATTTACCATTTAAAAAGCTGTGAATGTCACTGATCACTGAGCCCGGAAAGCTGTGTTTCCATTGTTGCTGCACCCAGTGCTTTCCTTAACATCACCCGGCATAAACTCAGAGGTTGACGCGGACTGTCGTGCTTAGCTTTTCAGCAGTATTTTTCACTGTCTGTTTCTGTCTAGAGGAGGGAGGGGTTGTGATTCTCTTGGCACACAGCTGAGCACAGAATGTGAAGGATCAGTCCACAGCACAGCAGTTATGGTTGTCATGCTGGAGGCAATAGCCACGGCGCCCACCAGCTGCAACATCAACACAGAGCCAGAACTGTTTATGCTCACGATTGCAGCGCCCTTGCCTCGCTGCAGTCTTCTCCTAAATGATAGGTGCTGCTGCTGAGGAAAAATAATCTATGCCACTGGAGGGTGCAGTAGAAGAAATCTACAAGAAATGCGTTGTGTAGCCAACTAGCCTGCTAGCTAGCCAGCAGAAATCAAACCTGCAGAACAGCCTGTGTGGTAGACGCCATGTATTTCAGCTTTCTACCTAGATAGCTATACAAGATGTCTGTATAGGGTCGTAGTGAATGTCTGGAGAGACGGACCTGCTCACTCATTCTTGACCAGTTATTAAATCCAAGGTTCAATTTTAATGGGTGTGTTCAATCAAGAAAGAAAGGTAACTGTTTGTGTGTACTCTAACTTTTTTCTTTGATGGAAATCTTAACTGATAAAGTAGCAGTTAAAATGCTTTAAATTCTCACTTGATCTAATGAGACCATGTGATAAACTAATAAGGCAACATCGGCCACCCCTGTCTCCTATTCATTCTGCTCTCAGTATGGGACGGCCCTATCCCAGGAGTCCGCTGTGAGATATACATCAGTCAGATCCCACGGGACACCTACGAGGACCTGCTGATCCCGCTGTTCAGTTCAGTGGGTCCACTCTGGGAGTTCAGGCTCATGATGAACTTCAGTGGACAGAACCGTGGTTTTGCCTATGCCAAATACGGCTCAGCAACTGTAGCTAACAATGCAATCCGCCTGCTGAATGGCCACATGCTGGAGCCTGGCCTCCGCCTCAGTGTTCGCCGCAGTACAGAGAAGAGACACCTCTGTATTGGAGACTTGCCAGCTGCCACCAGGCCAGACCAACTATTGCAGGTACAGTGTCCTGTCTTTCTGATAGCATGATAGAAATATTACACTCAGTGGCCAGTTTATTAGGTTCAACCAATAACAACCAATGCACTCTTAACACAACAGTACTGCAGTTATCCCCCTCTTCATGAAGGTTTCACAATAGACTATGGTCAGACTTGGTCAGATTTAAAAGCTTAAAATATTCTGGGTAGGCCGCTCTTGTCAAACGCTTGCATTAGGGCTGAGCAATATGGCCAATATTGATCGATATAGATAATTATCAATATATACATTTCATATGATTAAAAAGGAAGGAAACAGGGTGAGCTTTTTTCTTTTTGTGTCTGTGAGAGGGAATGGATCATAGGAGAGAGTGAAAGAAGCGAAAATCCAGTGGGAGTGTTATGCCGTCATCTTAAAAAAGAATTATGACTATTTATACTCAGAGTTCATGATATAAGTATGTACTACATCCCGTGTAGAACAAGCCACGATATTTGAAGTATATTTGATATACTGCACTTAATTCCAAGGTTGGCACTGAGGCTAACCACTTTGGAATAGTGACAACACTCCTATGTCAGAGTAACAGGTGTTTTTCCTGTTTTTACTTTAAAACTGAAACATGTAAAATTTTAGTTGTCTTGTTTTTCAGTCAGGCCATTGAGACAATATGTTCCCATTCTATGGATAAATGTTGTGGAAAAGTTATTCTTTGTAACTGATCTTTGCTTCTAGGTGCTGTGTCTAATTGCAGAAGGGGTGGAGAGAGTGTCTCTGAAGGCTGGACCTGGTATAGAGGGGGTGTCAGCTGTAGTAGCCTTCTCATCCCACTATGCTGCTTCTATGGCCAAGAAGATTCTTGTAGAAGGTAGGTGTGATTCTGATGGACTGATCCATGGCATCAGTCTATTAATTTTTTATTTATTACAGCAGTGATCTTTGATTATGTGCACGAGAACGGTCATAGATTGAATAATCTGGATTTGTTAGAAATCTGCAAATCTTAAATTGAAGGTTGGCTTTTGTCCATTTACTGTGTGAGGATCCTCAGGTGAAGGGTTATTGTAAATATACAGTAAGTTTTTAGCTGCTTATTTAAAGGGAAAAAGTCAGTGCACATTCTGATGGTACAGTATCTGTTAGAGCCACTATGCAGCGTTGCAAATCCTGCACATAGAGTTGTAACTGAACTTGGGCACATTCCATATTTAACTGATTTATGAAGTAAAAACACTTAGACTGTCTCTGTGTTAAAGCAGCAATGCACAACTTTTTTTTTTTTTACATTAAAATAACTTCAAAATCGTGTTGGTGGTAGACTGACTTCTAATAAGGTGAGTGGCATCGTTGCTATTGCCACTGTGTGCCTGGCTCATCTGTTACTGCACTATGTACATTTGGATCCTGGTCATTGGAACCTCATGTGATAGCTGCGTTTTGCTTTACAGCACCAAACCCTTCAATTAGCAGTGTTTCCCCTAGGTTAATCGGTCAGGGAGGGCAGACCTGCCGGTAGGGAAATGTTGGAAAAATGTTACTCTTGCCAGGTTTTCACAGGAATGGTCAAAATTTATCCATCTTTTTAGCTTGTCTTCCTGTGCTTGGGGTAGGGCTAGCTTCCCTCCCCTCCACAGCATACCTGTATGACCATTCAGTTTCCTTTTTAAAGTTCTTTAGGAACTCCATTATTGAGCTCACAACGTCTGATTTTTGACTGGAAAGTGTTGGATGACTGTGCAAGACGGGTGCATTCTGGGTCGGGTGTAAGTGAAATTGTAGCAGGACATAGGGTGATGCTCCCTCCTTTTTAAAAAAGCCGCTCTGCGTTTTGTCCAAAATCCGCCCACTTGCGCTCCATTCCGCTTACATGTTTTGTAGAGGATGAAAATTTCTGTAACTTTCTAAAACTAACATTCAACAAAATAATTTCAGCCATTCTTAGCTGTGGTTTACTGCTGTACTTCCTTTTTTGTCTCCAGCTTTCAGGAAGAAACATGCAATGAACATCTCTGTAAAGTGGCAGTCATCAGAGAAGTCAAGCCTGGATGAGCCTCTGGTTCCACCAAAACCATCAAAGTGCCTCATACCGTCACCCTCGAAGCCACCACGGCACATCCTGCATTCCTCGTTCCTACCTCCTCGCCTGGCCCACCCTCCATCCATCCCCCCAGGTTTTTCCAGAGCAGTAGGTGAACCCAGAGCCACACGCCACCCTGACTCTCTCTGCTCCTCCACCTCCTCCCAGGTGTCTGCAACATACCCGGTGATGCGCTTGCTTAAGCTGTGTGAGGCAACTGGGCTCGGTCAGCCACTGTATGAGGTGTCCTACAGCCACGCTGGGCCAGATGGATTTGTGTACTTCACATACATGGTGTGTATCCCTGGGATAACCATGCCCTTAAAGGGGTTTGTCACGGTCTTGCCTGGACCCACTTCCATCACCATGTTGGAGGAAGCTCAGCAGGCTGCAGCCCAGCAGGTCCTGCGGATGCTTTTCCATGACCAGCTCACCCGCTGAGGACCTCTTCAGATAAAAGGCAGCTTCTGCCAGCAGCGTTTTGTCAACATCTTCTATGTAAAGTAAATGAATGTAAAAGAAAAAAAAGGTTCTTATATGTAGTTTATTTGCTTGTATTGTAGTAGTAGACTGTCTTGTTTGAAATTTGCACTTTTTTATGCATGCGCTTTGTGTGTTGTTGTTGGAGTGGTTCCTTGTTTTAATTAAATTGTTTGAAAAGAAAATGTTGCTCTGGTGTGTTTAAAATAAGAAGAGCGAGCAGGTTTTCTGTTGCTACTGAAGAAAAAGCACTTACTATTGTTCTCATCATCTTTGGGGCCCCTGTTGCGTTTGATTAACATGGCTGCAGGAATGTAAACTCAAGAATTATGCAGAGCATCTAAATTAACATCTTTGAAAGCAGCTTCAGAGTTTCCCATCTCACTTGTAGAGGGGGTAAATGTTTATATGCATTGCAATAAACAGACCATATCAGAGTAAAACCAGACTGCTTGTCAGAAACTGGGCTATGATTAAAAAGCATCTATCCACAAGAGCCTCTGTACTAGGACTGCGTGGACCAGGCTGTCCATGTTTAACAGGCCTATGGCCACGAAAATCTTAAAACCAGAAAACAAAAGCCTCTTTTCTTCTTTCACATCCTGTTAGTCACCTGGAGACCCCTGAGATAATTCTTGCAGTGTTTGGGAATCTCTTAACATTTGGAACTACCAACGGTCTTCCAATGCTGCTGTACAAAGCAGAGATAGGACCTGCAGGTAGGACAGCCTTCTCTATCTGGTACCTGGTGTTGTAGCAGTATGGCCACTGTTGGCTAGTGGAGGAGGTGATTATTTTTTATTTTAATCACCTCTGAGATAACCTGGCTGGGGCCAGTTACAGGTAAGCTATTGTCAATTTAGTTCTAAGGAACTGATTTGAAGGAAATAAAAGATAAAATCCATTTGACTATGCATTGACAAATTTATGTTTGCAAACAGATGCCAAAATAAAGAAAATTTTAGAATGACTTCATACTGGTAAAGGCAAGAAAAAAAAATTTACTTTTCAAAAGAATTTGGCCAACCGTAAATGTTCAGATGGACACCGGACACCCTTGTCACTGCAACAGGTGCTTTGTTCAAAACTGAACATGCAAACAACTTGATCACAGTGAAAACAGCAACCATGTGTGAATATTGAGCACAATGATGGCTTCAATGTGTTTATTTCAGACAACAAGCAGACCAAGCAGGTTTGATATAGGAATGAGCCTTACATGTCAGAAGTTGAACTGCACAAATCATCTGACTGGGCTCATGTAGGAAGTAAATGTCTAACAGAGTCTCTCATCCTTGGTCCTGAGCAGATGAAAGACTGCTGTAGAATCACTGCTCTAAAAATGTGATTTTCTTATAATTGAATTTGACCTAACTGATCTGCAGCAGCTTAATGGAAACAAGGAAACTTTTCTCGGATGAGAGTAGTTTGGCATCGGTGATCTGGTCCTCAGAGCAGACTAGTGTATAGTGTTGACAATGAAAGTGTCAACATGAAGTGTGTCCTTCAAAGAACACACTTCATGTTAACTGCATCTTATTTTCTGAATGGTGTTTTCCAGTGACAATGCTGCCTTTAATAACTCACATCTTAAAAACATATCCAATTAGTTTCCTTGTTTTTGGTTTCTTGCTCTTTACAGTATGCAACACAAACACCACGTGCTTTAATAGCAGCCTATGCGGCTGCTGTGTAACTAGGCAAACTGTACAAGAATCTGCAGCATGGCTGTCTGAACCAATCTGGGGATGAGGTGAGGTTGTAGTTGGAGAGAAAGGAATGACTAGGCCTCAGGTCCTCCTCCTGATCTCACCTATAAGATCAGCTCTGGAAATATCAACCTGAGGAGAGAAAACAAGGAAAAACAGGCTAATCCTGCAAGTAAGCTCAAACAAGTAAATCAGTCTAACCCCTTGTGTGTGTGTGTGTGTGTGTGTGTGCGTTTATATATATACACACACACCCCTTTGGAAATCCAAAGTACAGCTAGGAGTGGGGGGGTTTGAATACATTTTCAATCAGTTTAAATGGCAATATTAATGTGTATCATGGTATACCATATTTTCTGCAAAAAATTAAGATGGAAAGTGGACAATGTAAATTAGAGTATGAGAAATTGATACACAGGAAATCAAGCAATTAAACAGCTGATTTTACCCAAGTGAATTATCTTACTGAGCATGAGATACAGATGAATGGAGGCTGCTACTGTGTTGTGACAGTCCAATGTATGTGACAGCACAGTTGCACTGCCTGTATCAGTCATACCTCCTCTCTTGTGGCCACTACGCGGAGTTTGACCACTCCATCTTTCAGCTCTTGTTCTCCCAGTATGGCCACCAGGGGGATCCCCGACTCCTCACAGTGCTGCAGCTGACTAAGCAGTTTGGGGTTCTTCTTGTGCATCACCTCTGCCTGTATACATACGCATGTGCATGCAACACAAATATTTTTTTGTTTCAAGATTTTACAAGCAACATGGTTTTTAATATAAGGCCCAATCTGCATTAGGTAAGCATTACAGATCCAGTGTATGCAGGAGTGTTTGAAACCCATGCCTTTAATCTGTGGTGGAAGTGGAGTTGTCAGGACTTAGGACCGCCTCATAAATGCAGACATGTTGAAAAGCTTGAGAAACTTCAAGTAGGCTGTATGAAGCAGCCAGGACCACCACTTCTGATGAGACTAACATATGCGGCAATAGCAACCACAAGAGATGGAACAAGCAGAAAAACTGAGGGGCAACAATAAGTCGGTACAAAACATGCGCACACACCTTAATACCAGCATTCCACAACTCGGTGACAAGTTTGAGCCTTTCCTCCAACAGGTTTTTCTGAGCAGATGCCACCATGACCTGAACCTCTGTGGTACGAACTTTCTGTGCTGAGGCCTGAAGAACACCACACTGTTACAGTCTGAACATCAACAAATTCACCAATGTAACAGTTCCACTTGAGGAACACAATCCAAACAGGTCATGCTTAAAAAAGAAAAAAGATAAATAAAAGCATCTGTTTTGTATTTGACACAATTTAATCACTTTATATTACCACAGCCTTCTGTTCCATGATGGAAAAGATCCTCTCGATTCCAATGCTGACACCCACACACGGCACTTTCCTGCCCTTGGGGTCAAACATACCCACCAGGCCGTCGTAGCGGCCCCCTCCTGCCACGCTGCCCACACTGACACTCTCCTCGGCCATTGGCCCATTTTGGGCTTCACTGGTGACTGGGGCCACGCCTGCCTGAGTCAGTACTGCCTCATAAATGACTCCTGTGTAATAGTCTAGACCCCGGGCCAGACTGAGGTCAAACACCACCTGTTGGAGTATAGAAAATGGAGTACAGAAAGTCAGTTACCAGTACCATGATGAAGAGAAGAGAAAAGAGACAGAGAAAGTAGAAGGTAGGGATAACTTTCTTTGTTTTTTTTTATTTTTTAAGTCTGGCCTGGCAATTCATACTTTCTAAGAACTGGAATTGAGAGCATACACAGACATTTTTTGTAACTTTTCTTTCATGAAAAATTCAATTTTAATAAACAGTTTTACATTTGCTTCTTTTTCCTTACAAAACACCAAATAAAAATTAAGTGTAATATTTGTACTTCTCCAAATATAAACAGGTGCAACAGGTAATGCAAACAGAGGAACGTCTGTTACTACTGAGCACACAGTTCTTTTTGTCTTTTTGACGTGTGTACTTCATATTTGCTGTGTGTCTTCTGTGAATCCATTTACTGCCACAGTTCTACTGTCAGGAAGAGCACAGATGTGTCTACAATTTAATGAAAAACTTATGTAAAAGGAGTGAAAACTCTGGTTGTGAGGATGAATTAGAGAGAATTGTTTAAACAGCCACACCACTCTAGGTGTGATATCATCACTACAGCCTCTGACTCTTTCTCTTCATAGAGACCAATGTACAGCATTTCTCATTTTCAACCATTTTAACAAAGATTCTAACAAATTTTAGTCTTTTGAAAAGTACAAATGGAAGTTAAAAGTTTAATCTACAGTAGGGCAACATCCTCATCAGTGAGCTGTGGGCGTGCATGACCCTGTCTCCAGTTCACCATGTGTCCTTCCTTAGACACTGTTGGTAGGTACTAACCACTGCAGACCAACAACACCCACCAAGACCTGCAGTGTGGGAGATGCTCTGACCCAGTCATCTCACCATCACAGTGTGACCCTTGTCAAAGTCACTCAGATCCTTACACTTGCCCATTTTTCCTGCTTCTAACTTTGAGGACTGAATGTTCACTTGCTGCCTAATATACCCCACACACTGACAGGTGTTATTGTAACAGATAGTCAGTGTTATTCACTTCACAATGTTATGCCTGATCGGTGCACAGTACATGCATTTCATGTGTAGCCAGCATTTCTCTCATTGTGTACCATCTGTCAGAGATTTGGACCGTTTCCCCTTCTCCAAGGTGTTTCTGTAGGCACCTCTGTGCGCTGTTTGTATACCAAGTGCTTCCAAAGCATGAATGAACACACGCCCAGTACAGACATTAGTGTGAATGTCGCTTGATGTGCACGCAAGATGCTACGCGCTGCACATGCTATGCTTTTGGTCTGTGCCACTGTGTGCATGATGTGGACTATCGTGCCTCTAAATCTTGATCAGTGCATCTCTAGTTGAAGATGTAACGACACAGATGGAGTGTGAAAAATGGCAGGTCTCACCTTGTCTGTGACCTGGAACAGCTGCAGGTAGCTGAAGAGCAGCTTGATGTCTGACAGGCCAGCACAGGCCTGCTTACTCTGAGAAAGTTTGTGGTCCTGAAGGAGGCGCTCTGCTAAGTCCGTGCCACCTAAAAACACAAACAGTTGATGGTTTATAGTCCAGCACATACAGCAACATAAGCATTTGTTTGGAGTGGTCTGCATCCACCTGATGAATTCAAGTCCAATATTCACTCTCTTTCGAGTTTCCACTCTTTAGCAGCTCCACTATGTACACCAGCTAGTCTCTAACAGTCTGTCTGCTGTTTGCTGCTGAGCAGTTGGTGCATAGATTTATGAATGTGGAGCTTGTGTGCAGTATGATCCAAACACTGAGCTGTAAGCAACTCCACAGCTCGGCTTAATTGCTTACTATTTCGTCTATAAATTGACTTGATCTTTAAAAGGAGAAAATATTGATAAATAGATTTTAAAAAAAAATACTGATACCGATCACTGTCACCACTCTTGAAAGCCCACAATGCCTTTTCCAAATTGCTTGCTTTTCCCAGCCAATCTGAGCAGGATGAAACTAAATATAAAACGAGAAACCAAACAATCTTCAACAGGGAGGACCAAAAATAAAACATTTTGATGAAAATTTATCAAAATTATTTTTCATTTGAAATTTGACAAACATATGTGGCAATGACTATCACCAGACCAAATTTCATCTGGATCTGACGGCCATTTGAAGTCAACAATGAAAACCTCATTTAAACACATTTTCTGCCATAACTTGGCCTAAAATGAAGATAGTGCCCTGAAATGTTCAGGTAGGACAGTATAACGGTCTATCATACCCTAAAAGATGATCTGGATCTGATCCAGTTCAAGAACTTTAGGACACATTTTGTGTTGTTCTGGATCTCATTTTTCACATGGACCCATTTGAGTGAGCGAATGTTGTGCTTTGGTGGAGGCACATGCGCTCTCTTCTTTTCCAAGTAAAATACACTACATGTCCACTTTATTAGATATTCCTAAGGTGATCCAGTACAACTCTTCTGCTACAAAGTCTACTTTTATGATAGGTATTCTGTTTTTGTTGATTGTCAAAGCATTAACTGAATTATATATTTGAACTTTGAGGTCATAGTTGGTGGTGGTGCTGTACATGGTAGCATTACATTCAGAAGTGATTCTGATATTCTGACGCCTTCATCTGTGCAAACAGGGAGGACCAAAAATAGAAACGGCTCAAATTAAAGCGAACTGGATGCCCCTGGCCACAGCAAAGGATTCGAATATGGTTGTTAAAAAGAGATGTGTGGTTTGATTTTTAATACATTAGCAAAATGTCTACATGTTTTAACTTTGTCACTACAGGTTACTATATGCAAATCAATGGGCAAGATGGCGATTTTATTGATTTACAATACAGTACAATGTGCAAGAGCACAAGGGGCTGAAAAACAAACATTGTATGCACTGAAGATATTTTATTAACTATATCCGTTTTGATCAAGTCTTAATTTAGTATACAAATTTAAAAACAATGTAGTCTTCTTTCTGTAATCTCAGTTTCATTTACAAAACTTCTTAAAATTTATGATATTAGTTAGCCTGTGAGGAAATGGGAACAGCAGCTCTTTGAATGGAGCCGGATCATTCATAGAGCCATTCAAAAGCACAGCTCATCGCTCCTTTTCTTAAAATGTGTCTGTGGTATAATCTAAGCGCTGAAGTGCATCCAGTTTCAGGTCTGGGTCTGTGCCTGTTTGACCGAGGGTGGCTTTTAGCTACACACATAAGGTGCAGAGCAAAGAGACCACATTAAATCCTTACTGCGGGGCTGTGTGGAGGTGTGGCCATGTTTATTTGTGCTTCATAATGTAACCACTGTGAAACAATCGGAAAACTGTTTTATTTCTCTGATTCACTGCTTTGTTTTGTTCCCTCTCTAAATTCGCAAACCATCTTGCTCACCCACCACTGCTCTCTTTCTCACTTAGTGAAGTCAACTTTTAATAATAATAATAATAACAACTTTATTATTATTATTATTACTTTATTTGGCCAAGTATGCTACATACAGGGAATTTGTTTCCAGTACAGAGACAAGGCAGCTATCTGCGGCACCAACTCACACTGATGGCTTTAACCATCAGGGGTACTTGTGGCTCAGTGTCTTGCCCAAGGACAATGGCATATGGACTGCAGGTACCGTGACTCAAACCTCCAGCCTGCCGGTTGGGAGACGACCGCTGTACGCACCAAACCAGTCGCCCCCAGGCTACCGGCGACCCATATTCTTCTGCACACCGACAGATAATTGTCTTGGGGGGTGTGAAATGACTTGGAACAGACAGTGAAATTTGGGCACAAAGATAAAAAGAATGGCTCTCTGATAAGACACAGATTCCTTTGCTCCTACCAACGTTATATAGAATCCGATAATTCATGAATGCAACATGACTAAAATACTCAGATTCTTTAAGTGAAGCTATAATAACCCACAAAAAAAGCACTTTTTGTATATAAATTCTTAAATCAGCAAAGTAACTAGTAACTAACTATCTGTAAAATAAATGCAGTGCAGCATTTCCTGGTGAAATAGAGAAGTATAAAAACATATCACAGAAAAGAGGAAATCAGTAAAAGTCCAAGTAGTTGTATTTAAGTACAGTGCTTGACTAAATGTGCCTCATTCCATCAGTGACTAGTAGACAGTCCTCATCTGCCTGCAGTCTGTACTGCTGATAGGACAGCCAGCTCTCAGGACAGTGAGGGCATTAACAGATGAATGCTTTACTAGCACCAACATGCCACTTATCGCTCATATCTTTTGTGAATTTGGGGAAAGTCTCACCCTGCATACTGACGTACGCTCCAATTTGGTCAGCAGCCTCCTCTGACAAGCCCTTCTCGTTCACCATCTCCTTCTTCACGTCCTCCCAAGGCACCTGGAGGAGGAGCATGAGGCATTAGGTCAAAGCAAGACAGAGATGACAAAAAAGTAATCTGCCAGAAGAAGAAAGGGTGAACAGACTAAATATAACAAAGTGCGGCTAACTTGGCACCATCTATCCAGCAAACCCCGTTTCTGTAAATGAAGAAGTGTTATGCCTTAAGTGCAAGATTTAGGATTTGTAGCATTGCGCCTACAACTGAAAAACAGTAACTCTCTAGACCTTGTCCAGTTTATCCACAGTTGAACAGATGGTGCGGAACTTGTCATCTGGAACACCGCACACAGCAAACATCCCATCAAGGATACGTCTGTCGTTGACCTGTACAAAACAGAGCATGCGGTCAGAGTTGACACTACGGGGTTTCTGCAGGTTTCATCATGTTAAATTTCAGACTTTTTAAGACCTTTGTACACTACTCTGAATGCAAGTCAAGACCCATTTAGCAAGTAAAAATAACAGTCTGGGAGAGTCAGCAATTTTACATACTCTTTGTACCTTCAACCACAACTTGAAATACATTTTTACATTCATGGCTTGAAGAAACATTGAATAGCTTAAGTTACCCCACAAGCTATTGCACTATTTTGACTCCCTACTACATGTAGTGAGCAACAGTGTAGTGTGCTGGATTCTGACGGACTTTGTCAGTACCACATGTAACCTGATTGATCAGAATATGTTCAGAATGTTTAAAACGGCTCATGAGCTGCTTTAAAGTGTTGTTTTGTGCAACTTAGGGTAATTACTGTGTATGTATTTAGGGTCAGATCAGTGATTCCACAGACTTCCTCAGCTTAGCAGCCTCTCTCTCATCAACACCCTCCTAGAGCAAGTTTCTACACAGTAGCAAATGAACTTTAAAACAAAATTAAATTCCTATAGTTACAGCAAGGAGTAAACTGCGGTTCAGACAGATAATTACAGATTTTATATCGATGTATTTAGAAATCTTGGATCTCAGAATATTTTAGGCTTTAATTAGTGCAGCAGTTATTTTCTGGGACCCTTTTAGATTTATGTTTTTTTTTATTAAATTTTGTTAAGTAGTCAACCTTCTGACTTTCAAGTCCTGCGCACAGTATTAACTAAGATGGTTACTGTATGAGCATGATACTCCTCCCCACCATGTACCCTCCATTCTCCACTGTTCATCGGTCCAGAGTCCCCCCCCCCCAACACCCCGGGTGTATTTCAGGTGTAATTCAAACCGTGCCTATTTAACTCTGGCAGTGATATTGAGAAAAATTAGTGGAGGATTTGTTTTGAATGCAACAAGCAAGTAATTCATGGAATGATTTTCCAGACTCAAGTCTGCAACACCTTCTTAATGTTGGTGTAGATCCAGAGACTGTCCAGAGTGGGTCACGCCAATATCTTGTGATGCTCCTGATGTTCAAACGGAACAATAATATTTGATAGCAGGTGTTTAACATTGGCTTTATGTTTTCTTGGTGCAGTAGCCTGGAAATTTATTGTGTTTGAGTCTTCAACTGAGAACAGAATGTGTTTTTTTTTTCTTCAGTTCAGGTCTCCTTCAAAGTGAGAATTTCACTACTGTACATACAACAATAAACACTATGTCTTTTACTTCAACTTGCACTTTCCATATTAAGTGGATGAAAAACTAAAAATCACCACTGATGGAAGACGAACTACCTTATCTCACACACCACAATGCGCTAGCTGAGTGTCCTCTGATAAATCCTGACTGAGCTGCAAAGTTTGCAGTTGTTTTTGTACCAAGTTGGTTTGTTTTGTAGTTTTACTACAGCATGATAAATACAAACTGATGAGAGAAAGATGGAACCAATGTGCCAATCCCAACTGAGAGGTGGGGTACACACCCTGGACAGGTCACCAGTCTATCACAGGGCTGACACTTAGAGACAGAAAACCACTCACACCCGCAGACAATTTAGTCATTAATGAACCTAAGCTGCATGTCTTTGGACTGTGGGAAGAAGCCGGACTGCCCAGAGAGAACCCACACAGGCACAGAGAGAACATGCAAACTCCACATAGAATTCCCCAGGTCGGCCCGGGCACTAACAACTGGGCCAACATGTCACCCCTTTTAAAGACATTATGAGGCCTAAAATTCAGATAAATGGATGAGACTTTAAGGACCCACAGAAACCCTGTACCTACTGAGCATTGGCTATTCGTCAAAATATTCAACTGATTAGATGGGACAAACCTTAATATAAAAATCTCCGAGGTCCAGCTCACTGAGGATTTCATGAACGATCTTCAGACACTCAGCGTCTGGAATCATGGCGTCATACTGCCCTGCTATGTCAAAATCCTGAAACAAGCAAACACACACAATTATTAACTGAAGCAGAGCAGGGCATTTATCAGGCAGATTGTACATGTATTAAACCAGATCTGATTCCAAAAGCTCAAACAAATGTGTCAATAACTCGATCCATGGTTCCTAGCAGTAGGGAAGACATGAGGATAACTCACACATTGGTAAAACTCTCTGTAGCGTCCACGGGTCATTGCTGGGTTGTCGCGGCGATAGACCTTAGCAATGTGGTAGCGCTTGATGTTGGTTATTTTGTGCATTGCCAGGTAGCGAGCAAAGGGCACCTGAAAGAAGGCTGGTCAAGGACAATACATCACTCTGTCATTCAGAAAGAATGAAATTTGGTGTTATGTTACAGTGCTAATTTTGTCAGTGAAAACTATGATTCATTGACAAACATTTTTTCACAACAAAAACAAACCTAAAACTAAATACAAACATTTGAAAATGAGAACTATGTATTTCATCATTGAATAGAAACTAAATAATGTGAAAGATGAAGGAAAACTAAATACAGTGTGTGTGAAGTCTTATTCAGTAACCTGAAGGCACCAGCAGAAGAGCACACTGCAACTCCTGATTAGTAAACTACTTCTTCCACCACACAAAATCTCATTGAGCAGTTGTGTTTGACTTGTTGCACAAAAACTACAGATAAAACTAAGTAGATGGAAAAATGAATGCAAGCAGTTTTTTTTTATAAAGTATCCTTCAACGTTCAAGACACTATTTAATCAGGAGAAAAGTGGCACCTAAGAAAGAGCTAGAGGCTAACCTAGAAAGGATAGGGACAGGAGGTTAGGTATGCCAGTAAATATGCCCCCATTGGGGCAGGAGAACACCCTGTGAACATCAAAGTTGGGCTGCAGGATTAAATGTTTTGTCAGCATGATTTAGATCCCTGTATAATCTCAGTCTCATGTGACAATGATTCCGCCATGTTGGCATTAGCACGAAGAAGCCTTAAATCAAACCACACGCTCCCTTGGCAAAACACCAGTTAGTGAGAGGGTGCCCACTTGATGACCCTGTAGATTTGCCTTCACCCTTACACCCACACAGAACTTGTATAGGTGACTGGGACGACTGTGGTTCAGTGGGTACAGTGGTCATCTCCCAACCGGAAGGCTGGATGTTTGAGTCAGGGTGCCTGCAGTCCACATGTCGAAGTGTTCTTAGGCAAGACACTGAACCCCAAGTTGCCCCCAATGGTTAGAGCCATCGTTGTGAGTTTGCACAGCAGATGGCTTCCTCAGTTCTGTCCTGAAAACTAATTCCTTGTGTGTATAACATACTTGGCCAAATAAAGTGATTATCCTTATAATAATACAGTTATGGACTTAGTAGGGTTACTAATGGTGTATTTTTCTTAAGACTGAGTCTTGGTAGAACAGTGTCAGTGGTTGGACAACTGAGTGGGCCCGGCCCTCAGAGGTGACTGCCAATAGAAGCCAGTTGGGCCAGCCACTGCTTAACCTGAGCAAATACAATGCAGATGCTGTGTGTCAAGCCGCATACAGTCGCAAGGAAAAGTAATGGCAGCGTTTGCAATTTCCTGGTTGTCTGTATAAATTGGTCATGAAATGTGATCTGATCTTCACCAAAGTCACAAATATCAACAAACACACTATTTCTACAGTGAGGATACAGTGAGGTCATATCTGAGGGACAGCAGCTCTCCTCCTTGGTCTTTGAGGTCATAGATGAGCTTGGAATCTTCTCCATATTTCCCTGTCAATGTTTCCTACACACCAGGAGGAACATAATAAACTTTCATGTTTATATGTGAAAGGACTGTAAATTTCCCACCTTTTACATGTGACCATGTTGAACTGTGTTAAAAAACTACCTTTAGTTCAAAGACAGGTGTGTCAATAGTCTCTGCTCCATGGCGTTTGAAGCAGTTGATGATGATGTTGAAGACCTTCTCCCTGATGGCCATCTGCTTGGGGCTGTAGTCCCTTGTTCCCTGACAGACAAAGACATTGGCTGTCCAAAATCACCTATGACACATGCATGTGCATTTTTCTGTCAAATGCCTACTACACAAATGGAAATGCAATAGCCACTGCAGCCACTCCACCATCTAGTACGTACAACTTCTGACATGCTGCTACACAGTCATCTTGCCACTGATTGACCTGGATGTTTACATGTGATGACACCAGTTGCTTGTTCCTCATTCATTCAGAGTTGTAGTAGCCTAGCTGTTACTGCTCACTTACAAGTGTTTCAGAGGATAACAGAGGCAACAGAGGACTGAGCCAAAGTGTTATATTACTTGAACCACATTGTACATCTTATCACATATACAGTGGGTACGGAAAGTATTCAGACCCCCTTAAATTTTTCACTCTTTGTTATATTGCAGCCATATGCTAAAATCATTTAAGTTCAT